CAGATCTGGAGCACAGTGAAGGTGTTTAAGCAGAAAGCACTCGATCTTGAGCCAGTGGTTGAGACAAGTCAGGCCTTGTGGCCATCGCCAACTTGGTGGTTGGCATGTGCAAGGCGACGGCAGGGAGGCTTGGCATCGAGCGCTTTCATTTGGGTTCTCAACCTTGAACATGACTTATGTGGCTGTCAACGTACACGCAGGAAGTTCAGGGGCAAGCTCCAAGGCACGACGCGCCGCCGAGTGCGACTCACGGGTTCAAGAGTAGCTGTTTGCGGCGAGCTTGGCAGTACATGGAACACGGGAGGGCTCCCAGCGGTTGCCCACGGAGCTGAGGTGGCAGGCGCCAGCGGTCAACATCTTGCCCAACTTTGACGATTCGCTGGAGATTTTGCGGGGGCCGAGTGAGAATGAGCGTCGCTAGCGGCGGTGGGCATTAGGTCACCCAGAGCATTTCATCTGACGATGCAATCTTTGTAGCGACGGTGGGCCGTGTCACGAGGCAGGCCAGCTTCATTTGGGATCGAAGATGCATCCTTGCTAAATTGGGGAGTGCTTCGAGAATGACGCATCGAAGTTTTTCAAGCAAAGAAGGTTTTCTTATCAACTCATGGTCCGTGGTCCAATGGCGGGCGCATGGTGCAGTCTTACTTGCGTTGGTTGGGACATGGGCCCCTTCGACTGCGCTACTCACGGATCAAGGGGATAAGATGCGACTGCTCTACGTTGGCCCGCGTCAGGTCAGGAGACTCCTGCGCGAATGAATGGAGAGATGGCAGGACAATAGGTTTCTGGATCATCGCGCTCTAGGAGTTGGCATATGGGGCCCCGCTTTCGAGGATAGCCATGACATCGGCGACTAGAGACCAGAAAGCGCATGTCAACAAGCTTCAGCGATCAGGTGGCGTTCGGGCATTGCGGAGTTGTGTGCCTTGGACCCTGGCGCAGGCGGCCCCGTTGGGATTGGCGCGCGCTGAGGCCTGTCGAGTTTGCGTTGGGCCCAAATTTTCCATTGGGACATCCATTACAGTGCTGCCATGGGCTTTTCGAGTGGAGTTGGCGATGGCGAAGGTTTGGTTAAGTCGGGCAAATTTTCCGGACTGGCGCAATCGACCCAGGCCATGACGCGCCGGAGCTACCCGCTGGCCAGCCAGTTCTACCGAGCCAACTGGGCAAGCGTAGCATGTAGGCCGACGCCGTGGTTTGGGGCGGCTGGGCCTCGAGCTCAGAGTTGTGGTCTGGTACGATTTTCTGGCTGGTTACCGCTGTGGGTCTTCCGCTCCAGAACCATGCAGGCGCGGGTGGGCAGTGGCGCAGGTGTCCGCAGCAGGTCCGCCACTTCGCGCCGCGTTCGGATTGCCACCTGGCGAGGCAAGCAGCCGGAAGAGCAGAAGATACATGCGCGGTGCACCGTCGCGTCGGATCTGAGTGGGCCAGCGAGAGAAGACCGAGGTTGAATATCCGAGCTGGCGCCTGCATGGCGCGCAGATATCTGGAACGAGTTGCGAACGGCTGTCAAGTTGTTACCGCCTTCTTTTGCTTGCACCCCAGCTGCTGTAACACATGAATTGATGAGCATCGTGAGTTCGTTTTGTCTTTCATCTGGCGGCGCGGCAATTGCTGGGCCGATGGCTAAGGCGTATCATGATGGTCTCAAGGACCCCGCAGCACGTCGACCAAGGTGTTGCTCAGGCAATGTATTTCATGTTCGAAGAAGGGGCATGGAAAGCTTTGAAATGTCGCCAAAGCCTCACAAGGAAGGCGCGCCAACGAAGCTGTTGATCCAAACGCGTTTGTTTGTGGAGCTTGGCATGTGGTGTACTAGATACAGGAGGTGCGGGAAAGGCGCAGCATAACCCAACTGATCAGCAAAGTTGCAGTTCATTCAATGTGCGCTCACGGAGTTGGGCCGCACGATGTGCGAGGCTCGAGTGGATGTCTGTGGTTTGTTCGGTTCCGAGGCAGTCATCCAGGCGCTGATCGTTGCGGACAGCTTTTTGCGACTTGGGGAGCAAGCTGGATACATGCTGGGCTTTGACAGAGTTCAAGAGGGCCGGACCGACTGAGCTCCACGACGGCGTGCGGCAAGCAGGCAAAGAGGAAGCTGGAAAGCTTCTCTGGTCGACGACGCCCTGTAGTAAACGAAGTCGTGCGTATGCCGCCGAGGGCCAAACCTCGCAACCTCACTGCACAGTGATACTGGGTGTAGCTGCGTCTTTGTTTTCGTATTTATCCTCGGTTCATGGCTTGGTTGCGGTGGTGTTTTGGTTACCACGCTTTGGCCCTGGAGGACGTACTGCTTGTTCAGGCAGGAGGGCGGGGCGCTGGGGACCTTCGGAAGAAACTGCAATCCGAAACCACCGGCGGAGCGGCACCAGCAGGGGAGGCCAGCTCAGAAGATAACCCACCCTGTCCTCCATGGGCCAGGCATGGCAGTTTGTTTTGGGGCAGATACTTTGTCTGCTCGTGCTCGTACGGGCTTCCGTTCGTGATGTGCGCCTGTCTGCACATGCGCTGACGCTGGGTGGCCGTCCCGGGGTACTTCGTGATAGTCGGCCACCATTTGCCGCGCGCGCTTGGAGCCTGCCGCGCCAGGGCGGCCCGTGGATGCACTCAGGATGGGCCGGCTTCGGCCCCTCCGCGATGCGCTCGTGGGCAGGAGCAGGAGGAGGAAGAGGCGGAGGAGGCGGAGGAGGCGGAGGAGGCGGAGGAGGAGGACGATCAGGACGAGGCGGAGGAGGAGGAGGAAAAGGCGGAAGGGAGGAGGAACGGCGGAGGAGAAGCAGGAGGAGCAGTTGCAAACGGAGGCGGAGGAGCCCCCCCACCCCCACCCCAGAACCAACGTTGCCTTGCAAATCCCTTGGGTATTGCAACAGCCCCTTTCCACCCTCCTCCTTTCCTCTTCCTCCCCCTTCTCCTCCTCCTCCTCCTGTTCCTCCTCCTGTTCCTCCTCCTCCTCCTCCTCCTCCTGTTCCTCCTCCTTCTCCAGTTCCTCGTCCTCCTCCTCCTCCTCCGCCTCCTTTTTGTCCTCCTCCTCCTCCTCCTCCTCCTCCTCCTCCTCCGTGTCTTGTTCATCCTCTTTTTCTCAAACATCCTTCTGTTTCTCATCCGCACCCGCCTTCTGTTCTCAATCCAGATCACGGCTTGGTTCCTCAGGGTTCCAGAGTTACTGGTGACATGGCGTCGAGCCACGAAGCTTACGCGAACTCCATGTCAGAAGGCCTTTCGGCGCCTCTGGGGCAATGCCAAGGCCATACCAAACTCTCGACTCACTTGGTGTTCGGCCAGGAGGGTATTTCTACAGGGGAGGCCTCCAGAAAGAAGGGCAACCGCTTCGCACGCCGATCTAGCAGCGGACAAGGGTGCTCACCCGTCTGGTTCTGGCAGACAATCGGACCCAGGCTCTCACATGCTGTAGTTGAGATGGCCACTAGGGTGGCACTTTCTTCCCCAGGTTTGAACTCTCGATCACCAGAGGACAGTCTGGGCACAAACGCGACCTATCAGGCACAAACAGGCCGCTGGGAATCCTTGGGCCTGGACTACCAGGCACCGTAAGTGAGAGTGCTGCCTGCGAGTGAGTGTGAACGCTGGTGTTTCGCGCCCGCCTCGGTGTCGCTGTCCTGCGCTGCCCCGCTTGAGCCCACAAGGTTTCAACGCAGCTGCGTTCCTGCAGTCGGCACAAACGGGCTTTTTCTCTCGGCGTCTGCCTCGACTGCTACGGGTATAGCACGGATGGCAGAGAAGCCCACGCTGGCGAAGCCGCACGGCCTGGAGATATTTGTCCAGGGGTAGGGCATCCCCGACACATCAAAGTGGACACGATTGCAATTAGTGATCCTTCCCTCGCCATGGTCGTCTTAACGGCTGACGGCGGCGGCGACGACGCCGACGCCGACGCCGACGCCGACGCCGACGCCGACGGCGGCGCCGACGGCGGCGACGACGGCGGCGACGACAGCGACGACGACGACGGCGACGCCGACGACGGCGGTGACGACGACAACGACGACGACGACGAGGACAGCGGTTCGGGACGTTTGTTCTTCCCCATTTTAGGAGTGCCTCCAGAAGAATCTCGGGGTGCCTCTCGGGGCGACCTTGGAGTCTTCCGGAGACTCTCGGCGACCCGTGGCCACGACGTCGCCGACACCGACGAGGACGACGACGACGCTGACGTCAGCACACCTGGCGTCGCGAACAAAAAACCTCGGCCGACAATTTTTCGCAGGGTGTGCTTTTCTGGGCCGTTCGAAGGGAGGACGACGACGTCTCCAGGAGCAGGACTGTGCCCTTGCAATGACGCCATCCGGAGGTCGTTTTCTGGCCCAGGGGCTAAGCACGTCGTAACTGTGTCAAGAAGCAGGTTTCAAGCATGGCGTCGAGTGCTCCGGGGCCCACCTAATCGAAGCGCGACGGTAAAGGTCCAGAGATGACGGCAACGGCGACGCTGTGGAGCTTCCTTGCGGGACACCTCTCAGCATCGGAGAACGTCCGAAAGCGTCCAAGAATTCTAGATAACACGAAGACCGCAGAAACATTTACACAAGTGCGAAGTCGTGGACGACCACGACGACGACTATCCTCTCCTACCTCCTCCGGCTCCCTCTCCTACCTCCTGGGCCGACCTATGGGGGAGATAGGGCGTGAGCAGGAGGAGAGGGAGGGGGAGCAGGAGGACAAGGGCGATGGCGACGCGACGACGGCGACGATGACGATGCAAACGGCGGCGGCATCGGCGACGACGGCGGCGGCTACGACGACGACTGAGGCCGCGGCGGCGACGACGATATTCATTTTGCGTGATTGGCCCTGTCTGAGTCTCTGGAGCCCTCCGGAGGGGCTCTTTCCAGGACGCGTCTGGAGGCTTCCGAAGACCTCCGGAACGACAACGACGCGCCGACGACGACGACGACGACGAAGACAACGGCGACAACGACGGCGGCGACGACGACGACGGCTGCGCCAACCACAATGACGGTGCCTTGGATCCCCCTGCGGAGGTGGTGCCGGCACCTTCAAAGAGGAGCGCGGAGGTGGCCCGGCGCCTACGGGGCAGCAGTTTTTGCAGTTGTCGATCGATCAGGTCCGTCTTGGTTTTCTTTTTGTGTTTATGCTAAGCAGTTTTTTTGTGCCCGCTGGCCTGGGTCTTCAGGAGCCTCTGGAGGCCATCCAGTGACCTCCAGGGACCTTTTCGGGGATTCCCCCCTGCACCTTCAGAGGCCTCTGGGAATCGTTGCCGTCGCCGCCTTCAAGGTTTCCGATCGCTTTCTGCGGCGCGTGTTGGTTGTCGCATGCTTCTTACATTGCCTAAGTGTATGTGACGTTCCCCGTGGATGAGTTCGGATGATCAACAGCGCCGTCGTCGTCCTCGTTGGCGCGTCGTCGCCGTTGTTGGCGCGCCGTCGAGATCGCTAGCGTGTCGTCGTTGTCGTCGTTGCCGCGTCCTCGTCTCCGTCCTCGTCCTCGTCCTTCTGCCCTTGCCTAGATGTCTTCCTCTGAATCCCTTCTCTTCCTCTTCCTCCTCCTCCTCATCCTCATCATCTTCCTTCTCATGCTCCTTACGTACTTTTCCCTCCTACCTATTCTCTTTTTCTGCCTCATATTTTAGGTTTACGGGTGGGGAGGAGCGAGGAGGAAGGAAGAGGAGGAAAAGTAGAAGAAGGATGAGCAGCAGGAGGATCATTAGGAGGAGGAGGAGGAGGAGGAGGAGGAGGAGGAGGAGGACTCGCAGGAGCAGGCGGAGGAGCACCCTCCCCCCCCCCCGAAGAACCGACGCACCCACCTAGGTCCTCCTAAATCCTGCAACACCCCGCCATCCTCCTCCTCTTCCAGCTCCTCCTCTTCCTCCTCCTCCTCCTCCTCCTCCTCCTTCTCCTGCTTGTCATCCGTAGCCATTTTGGCTCAAGGTGACATGCTTGGGGGGCTTTCAGCCTCCGAGCTTGCAAGGATTGCTCTAGTCCGAGCACAGTCTTCAACTTTGCGGCCTGTTCGCCCAGGTCAGGACCGCTCGATCAGATCGAGCCGCGCATTTGTGAGCTCCTGCTGGAACAACCTCGAGCACAGTGCAGGACGACGCCGCCATGCGGAAGCTTCAGACGTACACGGTGTGCAGCGGTTGCGGCGGCTGGGTCTTCGATTGGAAGCTCCAGCGCTTGGGTTGATGGTGCAACAAGTGCGACAACTACATCACGGGCTGGAGCTCAGCGGGATCGACGAGTACTGGTTTACGAGGTGGGAGTTCTCCGCCATGGAAGTCCCAGTCATCACCCGCAGATGGGATCCAGCAGACCCTCGACAAGTTCAACGACGGGAAGGGTGCCTTCGGCAAGGCAACAGAGAAGGTGGACCTCGGGCCCCTCCAGGAGCTCCAGGCCCAGCTCATCGCGAAGGATCAGAAGCCGCTGGATGTGCCCAAGTCTCAGGCATTGCGCCAGGCGATCAACACGCTGGACCAGAAGAAGGCAGCGTTGGGGAAAGCGGCGTCCCAGCTCATGGAGGCAGAGCGCTGGCTTAATATGGCACAGGACAAGCACGACAAGGCACTGGAGGAGGCCGCGGACGCTGAGGAGGAGCACGAGCAGAGTGTGGTAATTTCATTTATGGTTCCGCCACGCGGCCTCCCTGTGTCGCGGAGCCGCACGGGGACGGCGTCTGTGCCCCAGTCCTACTCCCTCTTTCTTCGGCGCTCTGCATTCCCTCCCTCCGCCTCTCCTACGCAGGGCACGGGGCAGGGCACGGCGCGCGAGCACTGCACGCCTTGATCCGTCCATCGCAGCCTACAGTACTGTTGAATCGGGCATGTTCCTCGACAGGAGGAATATTCAAAATAGTAAAAAATAGTCAGGGGACGATTTTTCGATTATTGTGAAGGCCTTACGGCCGGTGCCGCCGACCCTAACGACGACGGGGGGGGGGAGGAAAAGGAGGAGGAGGAGGGGGAGGAGGAGGAGGAGGAGGAGGAGGCGGAGAGAAGGAGGAGGAGGAGGAGGAGGAGGAGGAGGAGGAGGAGGGAGAGAAGGAGAAGGAGGAGGAAACGGACTCCCCCCTGGCTCCCCCCCCTGGGGAGGAGGACCCGAGGAGGACCTGTGTGGGAGAGGGAGGGGGGGGGGAGGAGGTGTACCCCCAGGGACGGATGCGTATCTTTCTCCCCCCCACCCCCCCCATGGGACTCCTCCCCACCTGGGGAGGAAGACTTGAGGAGCAACGACGCGCCGGAGAAGGACAGGCGTGGGCGAGGGGTTTCCCCAGAGGCGATGCGAATCTGACCCCCCCCCTCCCCCGGACCCCCCCCCCGCCAGGGGATGGACAAAGGGAAGGGGCTTCCGTTTGACGTAATGAGGACGTGGATCGAATTCCCTCAAGCTGCGAATCCATTCCCCGAGCGAGGAAGGATGCTCTCTCTCTCTCTTTCTCTCCCTCTCTCTCTCCCCCGACGGGAGAGAAGGATGGGATGGAGGGGACGAAAGAAGGCTCCCCGTCGACGGGACCAGACAAACACTTCACACACGCCGACAGGGTCGGCGGATATTCAAAACATTGTCGGTGGACGATTTTTCGATTATTTTTGATCATGTTTGAATATAGTTTGGCCATGCTTATTTTTCCTTCGAATATCCGCTTGCACAGAAATGCCCGGCCTAAGCCTACTGTGGAGGGATGGGATTTGTGGGTCAGGCTTCGGGAGAGTCGCGCGGTCCTCTGCGCATCCCTGCGCCCCCAGCCTCTGACCTGGAGAAGGCGGTGTCACGAGAGCAGGAGGTTTTCGGTTTGCGTCCGAGTTTTCTCTTCCTTCTCGTTCTCTTCAGGTTTTGCACTCTCTCCCTCCACCCCTCCTCGCGTGTGCCCTGGACGGGCACAGCAAACCGTTTGTTGCCGCTTTGGCGTTTTCTGTCCAATAGCCTCGTATGGATGGTGGGGATTCATTTGAGGATTGGGAAGGAGTGGGCACTTTGCTTCTGTTTACCACGTTCCGTCCGCTCTGTCGCGGGGGTCCCATCGTACTCTACTGTGCTTGCTTATTGGCGCCCGCGCACGACTATCTAGTTGTTTGCGTTTGCAATATTTTGCCAGCTGCACGGCCGCATTCCGCTGACAGGCAATCGGCTACAACAGGTCTGCAATCCAAAATCTTCCCCTCCTCCCACAGTTGGTCCTCCCAATCCGCAACCCTCCCCACTCTCCCTCTGATGACAACGGCGGCGATGATGACAAACACGGCGACGATCACGCCGCCGCTGCAGAAGAAGACAACCACGACGACGACGCCGACGACGGTGGCGGCAGCGACGACGATGACTGCGACGACGACGACGCCGACGCCGAC